CACTCTTGTGGAACACTCTTGTGGGACACTCTTGTAGGAAACTCTTGCGGGACACTCTTGTAGGACACTCTTGTAGGACACTCGTGTGGGATACTCCTGTAGGACACCTTAAGGGACACTCTTCTGGGACACTCTTGTAGGACACTCTTGTGGGTCGCTCTTGTAGGAAACTCTTGCGGGACACTCTTGTAGGACACTCTTGTGGGACACTCTTATAGGACACTCTTGTGGAACACTCTTGTGGGACAGTCTTGTAGGACACTCTTGTGGGACACTCTTGTAGGACACTCTTGTGGGACACTCTTGTGAGACACTCTTGTGGGACACTCTTGTGGGTCACTTGCAGGACACTCCGCGTACTAAAGTTGTACTACAAGGTCGCCAGTTCTCACCTCACCTTCCACCTCCACAGATTGCTCCGCGTACTAAAGTTGTACTACAAGGTCGCCAGTTCTCAGCTTCCAGCTCCACAGATTGCTCCGCGTACTAAAGTTGTACTACCAAGTCACCAGTTTTCATCTTCCAGCTCCCCAGATACTCCGCGTACTCGCCAGTGCTCGCCTGCATTTCGCGCGCTCGACGCGCACAATCTCCGCAGAGGGTTGCGCGGGCACCGGACAAATCGCACTCTCGCCTGCATTTCGCGCACTCGACACGCAGCTCTCTGGCTGGGCCTTGTCCTCTTCTTGTCCTCCTCTTGTCATTGTCTTGGCCGCGTCCCTGAACTCTGTGGCTGGGCTCTGTGGCCCGGCTCTGTGTCCGGGTCTTGTCCTTGTCTTGGCCGCGCCCCTGAACTCTGTGGCTGGTCTCTGGCCCGGCTTACTGGAGAGGAGTGTGGCCGAACAAATAGCGATGTCAATGCCGACAAAAATTCATTGATGAAGCAGTTTGCTCTTGGGGTGAAGGTAGGGCGTACCAAGAAATCGATTTTTGATTAATATTGGTCTAAACGAATCGTTTTGAAGCTGTTTGGGGTCTATGTTTGTGTTTTGGCGAAGTCCTAAGTAGCTCAGCAGCAATAAGGAACCACCATAAACCGGAACATCACTCTGCAAAGAGCGATCCACATCGATGGAGGTGAGGATGACAGGATTGTGTTCACTCCGCCTGCGCATCGCCGAGGAGTGTGTTGTTGTTGTTGTTGGTGGTGGTGGTGGTGGTGGTGGTTGTTTAAATTGATCCGAAGGAGTGGAGTTTGATGAGATCCGGATCAATGGGAAGAGGAACAGAGCAACTACTGTAATATATGTATGACTATGACTATGACATACTATGACCCAGTGTTTTTTGTTTGTGTGTTGTGTTACTGTATCCTCCCTGACAAGAGTAGTTGACAAAGTCCAGCTGCCTGCCCGGAAATTCAGTAACGTTCAGCAGGAGTCTGTGAGACATGTGTCATTCTGAGTATGGAGGGAACTACTGATTGGCCGCACAATTGGCCGAGTAACCTGAGCAGAACAAGGCTGCTCAACTTCCAGGGTCTCCAAAAATTCCAGACATATCTTGAGAAGCAAGAACTGTTTGTTGGCTTCCCTAGTGTGTCTCACGTTATAAACAGCATATATATATATAACCAAGTGTGTGCCTGGAACAATGGCAAATTTTGGTCCCATCCGAGGCTTTGCTGCAACGCCATGCTGAGAAGCTTGCCTTGGAGAATCTTCTGACGATCAAACTGTTTCTTGCAGATGACGTCCTCACAAGACCCAACGTAGAACGTGGGAACTAAGGGAGTAGATGTTATATACATTGTGTATATATGTATATATACAGTTTTTGTAGTAGGTTTTTTATGTGTTTTCAAGGTTTTTAGATGTTGTTTCCAGGTGTTCTTTGAGCTCCGCGTTGAGAGTTTTGCTGTTGAGCTACGCACCCCCCCAAAGCATCATCTCAATCGACCCACCGAGCGGTGCAGCGTCGAGTTCGGCCGTGGACTTCCTTCGAGCAGATCGACATTTGCGTCACAGACGATTGGTGACCCAGGTGCACCAGGATGTACTAGGTCAACCAGCCCATGGGTCCCCCACCTTGCAGAAGGGGCGAGAAGGGGCGCCTGTCTCGGGGATCCACCAGAATGGCCTGTGGAGTTTCAGGATCCCAGTTGATTAGTGGATAACCTTCAACCTCTTTTTGGGGATTGGTTTTCCCACTCAATTACGAACAGATCGAAAGAGGTGTCCAACCCTTCTTTTTGAAGGGACCCTGAGGGAGTCAGAGGATCGGGTCTCTTTTAGGTGAGTCTAGTGTGTGTCCCAGGATCGGATTTTAGAAGTTTACGGCCAAGCCCCTTGGTTTAGACCCCCCCTGGCACCCACCATATCCCACCATAACCATCTTCTCACGAGGTGGTTGGAGCCCAGGGACTATGTCATGTTCTGCGCCTGATGTTTTTGTTTAAGCCCGGATGCCAGGCCAGTTGATTTGGCCGTGTCCAACGCCAGCGCGCCGCGCAATTCGACGGCGTTCTGTGCGGAACTGCAGCAGCTGCCAGTCTTTCTGCTGAACCTTCCAAGGCGGCCGGATCGTCTACGCAAGGCTTCAGTCACTCAGCAAGACACCAAAAACTATTGGGCGGGTGAGAGGTGAGTTAAGGCAGGTGAGAAGTGAATTGTTCAACTGGGCCACAGAACTGGCGGGAAGTTTGGCAGACTTCCAATGAAGGGGATTCCAGACTTTTTCATGGGCATCCACGTGGTCACTTATGTGTTTCCCATCTATGGCCTTTGACATCCTTTGACCATTGCTTTGGTTGATTCAATAGAGGGGAATACTCAATACGCCCGTTCGTGAACTTGGGCATATTAATTATCCCTAGGAATCCACATACCTTCTCAGAAGGTACTTGGGCCCTCTCCAATCACCTTCTGAGAAGGTACTTGGATCCCTATAGGCCCTATGGTATGGTACCACGTTCCACTCCCTCTATGAATTCTTCGGTTCTGTGCACCAGAAAAGGGGTCACTCACTTGGCCGCGCCTTGCGGTCGTCGTCGTCTCATCGGGTGTGCTGCTATAGCGACCTCGTGGGCTCTGGCCATTGGTTCACGGTGTAGGACAAATCGAATATGGTCATTGGAGCAGTAACTGGGATGGAGCAGCGACTTGGAAAAGACGTGGAAAACCCAAGTTTCAAGCAGAGTTTTAGCTGTACATGTTGTCTCCCACCGGGATTCTTGGGCAAAAGGGTTCTCCTATCATACAGCCGCTCTGAGTGTGGTCTTCCACATTGCCCCTTTGAGAAGGATTGAACAAGCAATAAGGAATTTACCCGGAAAGAAAGATGCTGCAGACCGCCATCGAAGAAAGAAGGATGCTCAATAGCAGCGGTCACTTCTAGGTCTGATCAACTAGGAGCTCGAGGACATAACAGTCCTCGGAGCCAAAGGCATCCGAAGGCATTCCATAGCATGCAACAACAGCCAGAATAGCACCCAATCTTGGAGACCAGGAAGCTAGGATCACCTGCATTCCATAGCATAACACCTAGCGCCCAATCTATGCTCAAGCCATCGCCCAAGCGACGCGACGGACCCCCGGCGCCTCGAACCCCGGACGTCGACGTCGACGCCTCGCATCGCCGGCACGGTCTCAGCGCCGCTCGTCCGGACTGTCACGGTATATCCCATGGGGTGCCATGAACGAGTGATGGGATGGTGCATGATTTCCAGTAGTATCAGTTTGTTTAGAGACTGTACAAAGTGTAAGTATGTCATGCGATAAGAAACAAAAACAATAACAACACCTGCCAGACAATCATGTGTTAGACACCTATATAATATATATATATATTACAAAGGTGTGCCAGACAGTGCAGGATCGGATTCACCATCCCCATCCATCCTATTCCATCCCGAGGGGGTAAAGACCGGTTAGATGATAAGCATTCATTTGATTCATTTGGGACAATGCTCCGATAAAGACTTAAGGCCTGGAAGTTCAATTGTATACTGTACTTCTGATCATAGATTCTTTTGGACAGGAAAACTGGAAACGGTTGCAATCTTTGCTTAGACTTGGGGTGGATAGAATGGACTAGACTAGAATCATCTAAAAACCATCATCCCTAACGAATCGCTTGATGATTCCCATGTTCCTATGGGCCAACACTCTTTTGATCTCTTTTCTACCTCCAGACTCCGGGTAGTGTCAAACAAGAATCCTCCTGTGACACGAAATCCCTCAGGCCCTCCTCCACACGAAGCTCCGCGTGTCGCGGTCCTGCCGTGTCCAAGCATTGGACGGCCAAAACCTCACCGTCACTGGGACGGTCAAACGCGGAGCGCGGTGGTAGGCGGGTAGGTGTTTTCCTGGGCTCCTGGCCCACGTCAAACGGAAATGCAGGGGTGGGTGCCAATGTGGGTCTAAAAGCTATATACTTCTTAGACAGGAGCGTTATAGGTTCTGGAGGTGATCTTATCTTGGATCCACAAAGCGCTGATGATTCTGGAATCTGAAAAGCCAGTGGCCACAGATTGTGCGGCCAGTCATCCTCTAGAAGAGCAGGGGAAGTAGGTCGATCTTGCTGGGCATCAAACAGAATGATTCGCCTCAAAACACCTCACCTTCAGACTGACAGGCTCAACAAGAACCAACTGCTCCGGACATTTGGAACGTTGAGACCTCTCGAGACCAGCCCAGGTGGGCTGCAAGTGCAAATCTTTCTTGATTTGAACGCCACTCCTGGTTCAACATGGTTCAACAGGTCTCCTGAAACCCAAGCTTAAAATCTGACTCTTAACATCAAAATTAGACATGGTCCCTTGGAAGACTACTTTCCTTTAGAAACAGGGTGGTTTCCACTTCCATGTGATGTGTTCGTCGGAGTTCATTCTTGTTTCTAACCAGTCACTAGTTGAAACACATTGGACTACCACCTCTTCTGCGACTGGTGACCAAGCTGTGGGCGTCCGTGGCCTACCACTGCTAGCTATATATGAGCTGCTAGCTAGAATGAAGCAGTATGTAACTAGATCAACAGTCATAGGCTCCAAGGATCTGCAAGTACAGGACTACGAGTACTTCTGTATGTTGGGCGAATTTTTATCTCTTATACACCAACTGCCGGGTGTCAATTTTTATACCGGGACACCCAACCAATAGGTTTTTAAGTCTTTGGCGTTTCTCGCACGCGTCGCATGCCATGGTCACCCTCAGCTTAGCGTAAGGTGAACATAATTAGATCCTCAGCAGCGTGCAAAATGGAAATCGCGTACAGCCATATGGGTCATCCATGTGGCGAACCTTCAATAGGTTTTGGGTATGGTTTTGGTCGATGTCCTTTTTCCAAATGTGTTTGGATTCGTTTTCCATACTCTCTGCGTGTACCGTACAAAAACATGGTAGGCTTTCTGGGACTCGGCGCCTCGCTACTGAGGCGCCATTGCCAGAGGCCTTGATCCAACCACTGGTCCTCCATGACGCCTTAGAGTACAAGGGACCCACCATCGGCCAAGGGCGCTTGAGCAAGGGTGCAGTGGCCTGCACCTTGGGGCATGCAATGATGTGGGAGCACATCTTGCAGCAGGAGAGGATGCTTGTGACATCATGTGAAGACGACCAGTTAGATTGTTCGATACAATATCTCTAGATAGATTATATTATACATAGATAGAACTGATGGAACCACTTGGAAAACCCTGGTCAGATCGGCTCCTATTTTCAGACATTCCAAGCGGATCCAAACAGAAAGAAGCACCGAAGTACTTGGAGGGAGTCTTTCGTATCTCCGACTTCCCTTTTTGCATCCTTTTGCGGCTACTTGATCAGATTGATTTTGGATGTATACTTGGATCAAGAGTCTTTTCTGGTTCGGACACTTTGAGTTTGATCAAAGTAGAAGGATCCGGTGGAATTGTTCTATTTCAGATGGTTGGAGTCATGGTTTCAATGTCATGCCATGTCATGCCACTATTTTGTGGGACTGTGTCTGCAGATAGGCACAAGCCCTAGAGTTACGTAATGATATGTCTTGATACATGTAGATGAACGTCAATGTTACCCCTCCATGATATGTTGCAGTCTGAAGCTTGTCGATGAGTGCTTGACATAGAAGTTCACAATCACAGCTTCTGATTCTCGGCTGGAGTCTCTGGTGTTCGTTTGGCTGATTTTTGCAGTTGTATTTGTATTGTTTTATGTTGTTGCGCAGGATTTTCCCTTTGCGCTGATCATGGAAGATGACGTGCAGGCGCTGCATCCCGGGCTCCCAGAGTTTCTGTGCAAGCTGGCGCAGAGGGCGCTGCGAGGTGCCGTCCCCGGGCAGGAGAACGGGGTGGGTGGACGGGTAGACGAAGAAAATGAGGGTTCTATAAATTCGAACATATCACGAAGAGTATTAGGAAGTCACAGGTGCGAAGACACCAAGACTGATACCACCATCCGACCATTTGGGTGTCCTGGCACTACCCCTTGGATGGTCTGCGTGATTCGTGGCACCCTTGGATGATGAGCCGTTCGTTGTGCCGAGTGGGCAGGTGACTCCGAGGAGTGGGAGATTCTGCAGCTGGACTTCGATCGACGACACCCGCACGGGAAGCGTGCTGCTTTCGAAGAAGGGCTGACAAACCCCTTGAGTTGGACCACTGGATCAGGACACAGCACCGGCACTTGGGCAGCAAGCCGAGGTTCGGAGGAGTTGTGCCGCCGGACATTTGGATGAACTTGGACATTTGCAAGTGTGCCGCCGGCACACACTTCGAATGAACTTGGAAAAATGAGCACCGGCACGGCACTTGTTCATTTCATCTCTACGATCCTGAAAAATGATGACAAGTGCAAAGGATCTGGTTCACTTTGCCGGAACTTTCTTTGATCTCTCTAAGGCCAAGCCCAAAGTTGTTGTTGTTCTTTCACTGTTCGCCGGTCATGGTTCGCCAGCAAGTTCTGGACACCGATGCTGCCTGACATGTGCACAGTTCCTCACTGTACGTTTGCTTTGGCATCACGTTTGGTATGTTTGACACACACATTCTAGCATTAAGGCTGGGAATTGTTCTGGAACGTGTTCTGACATCCTTTTTTTGGCATGTGTTCTGACAGGTTCTGACTTCTGTCCTGCTGTGAAGTCAAGTCTCCCACGTGTTTTGGCCTGTTTTTGTTTGACATGTCCCCCAATTCGAGGCATGTATTTGCTGCAGAAGGATGCTGCAAAGAAGCTGATTCGCTTGCAGCTGCCCATAGGAGGGCACATCCGTGGGAGTTCGGCGTTTGGTCCTTGGGAGTTCATCCCCACCTTTCAGAGGTGGGATGGCCACACCAGGATAGGGGTGCGAATTCACTGCCAAGTAGGGAACTGGTGATCATACATGAACCAAGGAGTCCGATTTAGATGTAGTGAATCATTGGATATCTATAAATGCCCATAAATGCCCTAAGCCCTAGACATCCCTAGACTACTGTCACTGTCAAGCGAACTGAACTGGCAAAGAGCCAAAGAGTTATATATACGAGTAGTTTAAATTCAGCTATGTTTCTCACAACTTCATGGACAATTCCTTGGTTTTTATGTTGTTTGGTGGCTCCGGACTTTCTACGGCTGGTTGAGAGATACCACAGCTGCTTCTGGACAGAACCCAGATGCGGTCCAACCCATGATGAGCATTTTTGCCCACGAATCCAATGGCGGTTTCCATGCTTTCAAGAGTCCAATGGTTTCGATTGCAATGCAAAACAAACCATTCCCTGTCAAACACATATGTCACATACCACTCCCTTTCAAAACAGGACCTGTTCTTCTCACCCTGCACGCTTTCGCCTTTCGCCCGCCCTCAGACCCTCAGACCCCTCAGACGGTGCTTCCGGGTCCAGTTCGGTGCCGGATCTGGGACCTGGTCACCACCTGAAAACAAAGCACTTCCAAAGGTGCACAGCTCTTGATCACAGAAATCATCAGAAAAAGCACCGGCTCGTCAGGAGAGAGAAAATTTTTCGGGCTCGGCTCGTGGGGCTTGGCGCCCCAACTCTGTGACTTTGGGAGGACTGGCGTGCACCCGGCAGATCGATTCGCCGCGTTGCCCTATGCGGCGTTCGCTGAAGGCTTACAGGTGCGCCGCGGTGGACCAGGTGTTCTGTGTGCCAGGAGAGGCGTTTGACAGGGAGGGATTTAATCAAGAGACCCCTATTACATGCATGAGTGTAGCATATTCACGATATGGAGAACTTGGAAGAACATGACATGGCCCCGGGCCCCTTGGAAGACTTCTTCTGTCGAAAGGCATGGTCCACCATGTTTTACAGAGATGTTCCAATTCCGATTGATCCTTCTGCTCAGCTCACCTCACGAGGTTATGATTCGGCTCATGTTATCCTACTCAACTCACCCGGTCCTGTTCGAGAGCTGTAATAGGCGGTGGCACCCCGAGAGCTGTACAGCTGGATCCGGATGTTCTCGGTTTCCGACCTGTACGGCTGGAGAACACAACCACACAGTGGGCAGGGCCGCCCATGAGAAGAAGAGATGGAACTCCAAACGACCCAATTGGTACATGCATGGTATAGTAGGTTCCTATAGCCCCCCCCCAGATGGGGGGGGTAAATTTCATGACAAGACAGTGGGGGGGGGCAAGAGTCAACATGTCTCTGTGGCTGGCAAGACAGCGAGCAAAAGCTTGGTTCAAAGAGGGTGTAGATGTCAAGACTATGGCTGGAACCTGGAAAATAGGCACCAGATATAGGAATGAAAAAGACACAGAGATACCCAAAGTGTCAAGACAACCTGTTCTGCTGGTGCCCCTGGAGGTGGAAATCCGGGCCTTACCGGTAAGGCCCGGATTTAGGGCTGCTTTCCTGGTCTAATTCCTTCAGTTCCTGTCTTCCCCCTGTCTCTGTGTCTCTTCCGGTCCCCCCCCCGTGGCAGGACCCAACGGGGACCCTGTCACGTCTATCCGGCGCACCGGTGAACCCCCGTGGCCGCTAGCAGAGGTAGGTAGCTAGAGAGGTAGACCGACATAACACCGGTTTCCCCCTTAAAGGGAAGAGACACAGATTGTTCAGTGCTTTTGAAAGCTCTCCCTGTTGCCCCCCACCCCCCTGCCCCCCCACCCCCTGGGAGTGTCATGTCAGCAGAGTATGATCATTGCACAGGTGTCAAGACAGTATGCTAACCTATGGTCGGAGGTTGCTCCAAAAATGTCAAGACAATGAAGCCCACTATAAATAAAATAGTCGTTTGGATGCGGAATAATCTAAAACTCGTGAAGTGAGTAGCTTGAATCCACCAGCTTTGACTGCTGGTTCTCGGACCTCTTCTACCAGTAGGGTCCGATATGAACATTTGCACACTCCTTGAAATCATCCATGGAAGCGGATGGCGTTGATGACACCATTTGTTTGCTATTCGGATTTCGTGGTCATATATATGGACATCCGAACTCGGAGCCATGATATCATGCCATCTACGCAATCATGATGATTTCAGGGACAGCTGCCCTAAGCCAAACTGAGTGGAAGACGGTGGTCCACCGGGCCCACCGGAGTCCTCCTTCCCGGTTTCGGAAGAATTCAGAAGGAAAGATCCCCGAAAAGGTGTGGCCTCCCAAGCTGAGCAGACCCACCCTTTGTAGAGGAAACTGGCTCTTCCAAGGGGGCCCTATGAAAAAGTAGTGCTGCTCGCCCCCCCTCCGGGCCCTCCGGAGGTCGAATGTGCCTGGAGCCTATGTCGCTGGATCAGCTTCTCGGCACGGAAGCGAACGACCATGGCAACGTGTGGGTCGGATTGAGATGGACGCTCTGCAGAATCGCCTGTTTTTTTAAATATTGAGATGATCAAGCTCAGTTGGGATGGTGGTGTTTCAAAACACATGACTGACTGGAGGTAAACATTTGGAGATGATAGGAAGATATAGGAAGCCTGTGACATTCCTTCAACGGCAAGCCATCACCCCAAAGCCTGGAATCTTCAATCATGGGTGGACTTCATCAGTTCCTTCACCTGCTTAGGCTCATAGGCAGATCGGTCTAAACTCTCCCCACATGACTCACCCTCAGTCTACGGATCGGCTCAGCTTTCTTCAAGAGCCGACCTTGACGGTTCACCAGGTCGAAATCGACCGGTCCACCCACGGTCGGTCCATACGGTCGGTCCTGCCGCGGGTTGGTCGGTCCGTGCAGGATAAGCACGACTCGGACATCCAGCAATTTGCGCGGATCTCCGACGACGACGCGACGATTCCTGATTGCCGGCCGCTGAACGCGTCCACCATGCAGGCGGAGGGAGGGAGGGAGGGAGGTAAACGAGCCCGTGAGGAAGATGAGTTCTCGGGCTGGCTGGGCGGCGCACAGGTGTGTTGGGTGCACAGAAGAGACCAAGTCATACAAAGAGCTGTTTTGAGGAAACTGACTTGGTCAAGCAGGAGACTGCAGGGCAGGCGGACGGTTCACAGTGGTTGGATTCTGGAAGAGCTAAGCTATAGCTGCTAGCCTTGGATCTGCTGGATCTAGTGAAGGGAAGCACTATTGTAATCTATTGTAGGAGAGGCAAGAGTGGTTCAACATTGTGGCATGCATAGGCCACATGTAGTTTGTTCTCAAGGGTCCTGTGTGCATCATTGTGCATCTTTATCATTTGAGAATATCAGAGGATACCTCTGTTCTGCCACAAGAAGAACACACACACACACATGCAAGCACCATCTTGGGTAGTATCTTGGGTGTTGACCACGTCTTCCCCATCGAGCCTGGCGGTCTTAAAACCCATTTGTTGCATGACAGAGAGCAGGACTCAGGCATGGCTGGTCCTAAGTGACGTGTTCACCAGCGTCCAGCGAGATGGAGCGGGATAATTATCCCTGTGTTTGGGTTTGGGGCTCGTTCTTTTTACAAATACTAGGTAGGTGGTTTAAGTAGGTGGCTTGCACAAGGGTACAAGATGTTTATCTTCAAAAGTTCTTCCACGTTTTTCCTCAAACAGGATCCAGGCTTGTCTCGCAGTACTTCTCCGGGGAGATGACCAGCACGGGATACAGGGTATATTTGATGATCAAGCTGCTTCGGAATGCCTCTTCTTTTGCACATGAACTAAGACTAGACCCTGATGCTTCCAAACACCACCCCCCGGCAAGGCCCACTCTTTTCCTGGTTTTGGGCGGATCGGGTGATGTTGATGGTTCCAATTCCTAGCCCGGCGGTGCCAAAGCGGCGCCGAAGCTGTTCACACCTCGGAGGCGCACGAAAGGGACATGGAACAAATTACACCGGCAAAGGGACCCCAAATAGTGTAAAGAGGAACAGATGGAACATGGCATCACGTGGAAGGAAAGAAGGAGCACACAGATGAGAGCACAAATATGAGAGGATACATACAAGAGCACAAATGTGAGAGTGCAGATTCACGAGCACAAATGAGAGCACACATATGAGAGCATATGGGAGCACATATGAGAGCACATGAGAGCACACATCTGAGAGCACAAATGTGAGAGCACATACAAGCACAAATCTGAGAGCACATAGGCGAGTACATAGGAGCATTTCGAAGTTCACAATGTACCGCGCCTGCTACGAAATCTGCACATGGAGGTTCACAAAGTACTGCGCCTGCCACGAAATCTGCACATTGAGATTCACAAAGTGCTGCGCCTGCTACGAAATCTGCGCATCGAGATTCACAAAGTGCTGCGCTTGCTACGAAGTCTCCACTTCCAGACTCAGCAAGTGCTGCGCCTGCCACGAAATCTGCACATCTAGATTCACACAGTGCTGCGCCTGCCACGAAATCTGCACATCGAGATTCACAAAGTGC